AAAAAAAACTTTTAGATCCTATAGTGTCACACCAGTTTAAAAAAAAAGACATTCTATCCATCTTGCACAGTTTCCATGCTAAACTTGTTTAAAACCACCACCAAAAAGGCATACCTAACTACCAGTGTATGACAGAAACCAAAGAAAGTATACAGAATCAGGAGGAGAAAAAAAATCACAAATCATATGCTGAAAACTTGTACTATCCATATGTGCAGAAACTTGCCAAGGTTGAAATACTAATTACCTTCTACCAATAATATTGTAAAATGACTGAAAAGTGCCCAAAAAATCTTTAATTCTCTCCTTAGAGTTGAATATACATGGCATTAAAGTCTATACATACAATGTATTCTACAAAGCCAAGGAAAACTATAAATACTGTTTTGTTAGATTATGATATCATTAGTGTTAAAAAGTACTTTATTTTTCTTAAAAACAAATAAAATATTAAATACAATAATTCCCAGTAAAAACTATAGGAATTGGGGGGAATAGCAATTTTAATTCATTAAATAGTATTTTAATTAACTGGATGGTAGTCAAAATCCCATGTAGTTTAAAATGTTTTCAAACATCATTTTTTGATTTAATGAAGTAAATATGTTGATGTATACTTAAACTATTTTTAATATTGACCATGTTCTGAAAAGAAATGTTCATAGCACCTTTGATAGATCAGGTTCAGCAAATTAGTCCCTGGACCAAATTCAGTCTACCACCTGATTTTGAAAGTTCTATTTGAACACAGTCAAGTACATTCATTTACATATTACCTATGGTTGCTTTGAAGCCACAACAGTTGGGTTGAAAAGCCACAACAGAGATTAGACAGCCAATAAAGCCAGAAAAATTAACTGTCTGGTCCTTTACATAAAGTTTGTCAACCACTGCCATAAACACAAACAATGCAGAAGGATAACAAAAATTTTCATTAACATGATAAAACATTTGAGGTTTAATTTTGTTAAATGTATTACTTAGTTTTCTTGTGATGTGTCTCATTCTGTTGGAATCAGTACTGGCAATCAAAAATGTTAAGTGAAATAAATTTTCAAAAATTAAGAGAATATGATTTCATTTTTGTTGAAAAAAACCAACAAAACAAAAAAGACCTAAGCAGAAAAATATAAGTGTATTAAAAATATAGACTTACATAAATCAAAAATTTAACAGTTGTTATCCCTGTGTTGAATAATTAGGAAAAAAAATTTGCTTTTATATTTTTTGTAACTTTCCTCAATAAAGGTCTAATTTGATAATCAAGAAAAAAATTAAGAGAAAGTATCAGACAAAAGGAATAAAGGGTTCAGGTTAATTTAATTAAATATAGCAAACATTTATCAAACATTATTATGTAGGCTACATGGCAGCTAAGAACTGGAGACAGAATCATGTTCTAATTAACTGGGCATTTACCATATAGTTCAGATAACAAAAAGTAGGGGAAAAAAAGCCATATGCTATTTAATATTCAAACTGTGCTGAGCAATAAACAAATATGCTACTATTTTACATAGCAACCCCAGCCACTCTCTTCTCTACTGCAACAGATACCTAGAGCCTAGTAGACAGGTTGAGAAAAACAAGATGTAACACAGAAACTAGTGCTGCAATTGCCAGACAGACAGACAGACCCCTACTATTCCATAGCAGAGGAGGGAGGTAACAGCATAAAGATCTCTCCACTCTTAATTTGGATTTCAGTTCTAGGATGTGAGGAGCTCCACTAGAATTTGGGCATTAAACACATTCACTAAACTGCAAGTTCAGGAACAGGCAAAGAGGAATATTTTAGACATATCTCCTATGCCCAAGAAAAATCAGCAGTGAATCCTGAGATTCTATCACATCAATTTTAAATTTTCAAAGCTTTTAAATAAACTAAAACAAATTAGATTTTTGGAAAGGCCATTCACCTTAAATAGACCAAATAAATTACCATTTAAAATCCTATTCTGACTCTGCCAAATACCAGATGAATGATCTTGGGCAAGTTAATGTCACCCTATCTCATAGATTTTTAGAAGAATGAAATAAGTTAATACACATAAAAGTGACTAGAACTCTTAGCACACAGTAAACACTAGTTATTCTTTAAATGATGTAACAAAAGAAAATTCTAGTTTTCCTTACCATCCACTTTTTGAACCACACAGCCTTAGTATCAACTAATGCAAAAAAGTAGATTGGATCCAAAATCTTTTGTGATACAAGATGACTTTGATCATGTTTAACTGACAACAAGGACAAAGTACTCTCCACAATTTCTTCCATATACCTTAAAGTTTGGGAAAGAACAAGAGATTTTATGAAAAAATAAAAAAGACTATTTTTTAAGCGTGTGTGTGTGTGTGTGTGTGTGTGTATAAAACTGGTGATATACTTTACACTTGTGAAATGTCATTTTTAGTAACAATCTTTATATTTAGTAAACAGCAGAGATGATATTCACACTCAGTTTTTCTGCTTTAAAAACTTATATTGTTTCTATTTCAACACAGTTGCAGCCAGTATGGAAAGCAATATAGAGATTCTTTGGAAAGCTGGGAATACAAGCACCATTTGACCCTGTATCCCAGGGACACAGCCACACCAATGTTTCTAGCAGCACAATTCACAATACCTAAACTGTGGAACCAACCTAGATGCCCTTCAGTAGATGAATGGATAAAGAAACTGTGGTATATATACAATAGAATATTATTCAGCATTAAAAGAGAATAAAATCATGGCATTTGCAGGTAAATGGATGGAGTTGGAGACTATAATGCTAAGTGAAGTTAGCCAATCCCAAAAACCAAAATGCCGAATGTTTCTCTGATTTAAGGATGCTGATTCATAATGTGGCGGAGGCGGGGGGCATGGGAGGATTAAATGAACTCTAGATAGGGCAAAGAGGAAAAGGGGTGAAAGGAGAAGGGAGGGGGCATGGGAGTAGGAAAGATGGTGAAATGAGATGGACATCATGACCCTAAGAACATGTATGAAGACACAAATGGTGTGACTCTACTTTGTGTACAACCAGAGATATTAAAACTTGTGCTCTATATGTGTAATATGAATTGTAATTCATTTTGCTGTCATATATAACAAATTAAAATTTAAAAATGAAAAATAACTTATATTGTTTCTATTTCAACACTGACTCTCCAAAACTTTCCTTTTGAGATTCACCAATGTACTTAGAACCTTATTAGACATTTTGTAGATGAAAGAAAAAAAGGTTAAAGAACATTTAAGAAACTAGTCCAAAGTAGCAAAGAAAACCTGAAACTACAAGATCCTACTTTTACCTTGTTTTGATAAGTGACATAAAATGATATACTTGTGTAGTGCTAACTGTGAAATATGATAAACTTAACACTACATTACCTTCCCAATCATGTAAATCAATTAAGACTGTCTCTACTCAAATGAAATGTCTAAGAGTCAATAACCTATGTTTTTCACATTTGCATAAGTTAGGAGACTTACTTCTCTGGATGACGAATCCAGAAAGATGGAGCCTCCTTCTGATACTCATTTAGAAGTCGAACCTACAGAGCAATGTTCAAGAGTTCTTACAATATTAGAATCCTTAAATACAGAACTACTAAAAATAGAAGCATATTCTAGTAAACAAATACCTTTTTGAGTAAGCAGATCACATTATGATTAGTTATATCTACACCAGTTGAAAGAGTAGGAATATGATTTTCTCTAGAAAGAAAATATAACTCCAAATATTTTGCTGAAAAAAGAAAAAATATACAACTTTTATATCATTATTTCTTAACTGCATATAAGAGAAAAAAACATTTTTAAATGATTTAATAAACATACCTAAGTTTGTATAAATTTCCTTGGTCATATACAACGGTGAAAGTGTAAATGTCTGTGCATAGAATTTTAAAATCCGGTCCTGGAGAAATGAGACAGATGATTTGCATCTAAGATTGTTACAAAACTTAAGATGAAATATTTTTCACATAGTAAAAACTTACCAAAATAAACACAAAATAAACCATTCAGAAATCTACAAATATGTATATGAAAAAGAGCACTCTTGTGTTGATAAGCAAAGAGTAAAAATGATAAAAACTAACAGCAAATAACAAAAAATATATATTATCACAATATCTGGGAATAGTAGGTACTGATATTGGAAGGTGAAGTGGGAGGAGAAAGGTTAGGTTTGATAGAGGAAGGTACAATAGAAAGGTGCCAGTAAACAATGAAACAGAATAGGCAATATTAAATTTTAAAAGACCATGCATTTCCAAATCCAAGATTTGTTTTCTTAATTGTTTATATGGGTAGCTTCACATTAAGGATTCTTTCTTATAATTGTGTCTATTCCCAAGAAAACACACTTTTTAAAATTTAACATTAAATTCAAAGTAAAACCATGTAATATAAGGTAAAGTAATTAAATGAGAAACAGGTATATTTATAACAGTGCCTGACACTAGTAGGGACTTAAAAATATTAGTTATTATTATTTTAATCATACTAAATTAAATATTATAATGAGATTAGTACTAATAGTGAAATCCAACCTCCCATTGAATAAAAACATAAAGTTGCCTCAAATTTTCTAATCAAATAATCTAGGGGGAAAATTAATAGTCTTGTTTATATCACTTAAGAGAATATGCATACAAGAATAGTTGCCCAAGTGACTAATGATTTCCAATAATCCCAAGAAATTCCTTCTCAACACGTTATTAAGTACTTTGGGAAGTCTACTTTCATAACTACGTCAATAGATAAGTATCCGTAAAACTTTTAAACCACTACAGACTTTACTTGGTTATGTCTAAGAGTCCTTTAGGATAGGAGATAAAAAAACAGAATCAAATTTAACAATTTAGATCAAACAAAAATTTAAAATGAAAAGAAACCTATGCTTTGTTTTCCTCAAAATGACTAATTCTACTGCCATTTTTCCTCCATAAAAATTATTCAATTTTAAGTAATAAAACTGACCCTTGCTGTTTAATAATCTATAATGGTTAAATAAAACAACTTATACTAACTTTGCTATGTTTATAAAGTTATTATAAAGTTACTAAAATAAAAAAAAATCTATTCTGCCATGATTCTTTGTAAGGAAAGGGAAAAAATAGCAGGGAAAGTTACAATTGCATTTCTTATTAGAGAGCCTTTAAATTTTAAAGCCTTAACATGACCCTAAAAATATCTTTTTTCTCCCTTGAAGTTCTTGTTTTTACAGAAGTCTATAATACCCTCTGGTGTTAGTAAGTTTGAACTGCATCCAAGTATGAGGTAAACATCTTTTTTCTCTGATAAGAATAACAAAGATGGTTCCCAAACCACTTCTGTTTATCAATTAATTATTATTAATAATATAATTAAATATTGATGTCCTTAAGCTGATAAATGTGTTAAGATACCTTATATTTTTCCATACTATCTGTTTACTCTCTGTACTCTTTACTAGAATGCACATTCCATAGGGGAAAGATTTGTTCTACCTTGTTCATGGTAAATTACCAGCATCTAAACTGGAATGATGCACTGTATAATTTAGATATGAGGTTTTGGCTCAAAGTCCATATGTGAGACAATACAAGAAAGCTTAGAGGTAAAATGACTGGGTTATGATTTTTAACTGATTCGCTTTCCTCCAACCCACTCTTCTGCCTTGCTATATTCTGCCACACTTTGAGCCCAGAACAATGGAGCCAGGCGGCTATGGACTGAGCCCTCTGAAACTTTACGCCCCAAATAAACTTTACTTCCTCTAAAATTGTTTTTGTCAGATCTTCTGTTCATAGCAGTGAAAAGCTGACTAAAACATGCACGTTCTATATATTCAATACAAATTCCTTGAACAAATAGAAAAATGTTGCTCTTATGGTAATGCCTTAAATCCTATACAAAAAAAAACCATACCAATTTTTAAAACAAAGCTTTCTTCAACCCATCAATATGAAGAAAAAGACCCTATTATTTAAAAACTCCGATTTGTATTTAATCCTGATGCTTGATAAGTCAGGAATTTTTAATTCACATTATATCACTATCTGTAGAATTATAGCACTTAAGATAAGCTTACTTTTCATCATATAATAATTTGCATTCCTGAAAAGTCATATGCATTTTGATTTTTGCAAAAATCAATCTTATCTCTACTGACTCCATTTTATAATTTTAGGGATTTTCTGATATTTGCTTTATGAGTAATTTCAATTTATTTTCTAACCTCTAAGCTTTATAATTTTCTGGCTTCTCTGTTTTAGACAGCCTCCAAATAAATGCTTAAATGCAGGAGGAAAATCATATGACACTTTAGAATCTATCCTATTAATCACTTTAAGTTCAAAATTTCATTTATTATGAGCCCTTAAAATATTAATCTTAATTCAAAAGTAATAACCCAAATACTTGGGTATCTTTCACAGGATAAGACAAAATACACAAGATAACAGGACATTATTTGGCAATAAAGTATGATGGCAACCATACTTTGAATCTAATTATTAAGTTAATTACTGAAAAAGAAATTTTGACAATCTAAAAAGCTATAACCAAAATTCCATAAATATTTGTGCTATCAAAAAAAAATCTCTTGGGCTGGGGATGTGGCTCAAGCGGCCTGGGTTCGATCCCCAGCACCACATGCAAAGATGTTGTGTCTGCAGAACAACTAAGAAATAAATATTAAAAAATTCTCTCTCTTAAAAAAAAAAGGAGTCTGGGGATGTAGCTCAGTGGCCAAGCACCCCTGAGTTAAATACCTAGTAATAAAAAATACAAATAAAAAAAAACCTCACATTCCATTTAGTTCTAGTTGGGAAAACAGGAATTTCTAAAAATATTTATTTATTTTCTTACACTAAACACAGGATCAGGATCTGAAAGACACAATGTCAATTTTTCACAGAGAGTAGTCCAATTTTCACAGCTCAGGACATCAGATGGAGGAGCTGAACATAATGTTTGTAAGGCATCATATCTCACCTAAAATTTTTTAAAAGAAAAATTTTTATTAATAGTTAGCCACTAGAATAATTCCAATTTTTCAAGACAATATTAAAAAATTCTTCAAAGCCAGAATCTGAATAATTATTTTAAAAATCCATTTATGAGAAAATAATACACTTTTATCAGGTAACTCTTGAGAATTCATTCATTATGTAAATTAATCACTAATCAGGGGAGGGAGGGTGCTGTTTTGTACAAAGAAAATTTAAACACTAACTGAACTAGGAGACTTAGATTTCATGTTTAAGTAGAATAGAAAGAAGAAAAGTGGTTGAATCAGAATCACCAATGCAATGTTTTATTGACCTCACCCTACAGATTTTCCCAATTCTAGTAAAGTCCACACAGGTGCTTCTGCAGTTGAGGGCTTTGATTTTAAAACATTTCCTAGATATGCCCCTGGTGACACATTTCCGTTCCAGAACATGTGAACAATTCTCATAAACAATTCATTTGAACTTTTTTGTGCTAGACTATATTTTCTGACCTTCTAACTACTGAAATAGGGGGGAAAATTCAGCAATGGAATGCAAAATTGAATTTCTGTATTTTCACAAAAAGTTTGCTTTGTAATCAGTCTTCTCAAAATCCAATCAGAATTCACTCAAAACAGTATGACCCAAGGGACAGCAGCAGAGAATAGCTCCACTCTGATGATGACAAACAGGGCAAAGCATCTCTCCTATTCACACTCCAGCTAATGAAGAATAACACAGTAATTCCAATCTAATCCTTAAAATCTGGTCCTTTCCCCACTGAAAAACTGAAGCCTAGTGAAGTCATAAGTGAAGGTGAGGCATCAGAGACAGGAGCCAAACTGAGACATTCATAGCTTTCTAGATGAAAAATAATACAGAATACACAAGTATCTGAAAATATCTATATACTCATATACAATAACTCCTAAATATACTTTTATTTCTGACAAGCATTAGGGGAATGTGAAGTTTTAAAAATTAAGAATTCATTTATAATATTAAGTAGTATCCTCTTTTCAATAAATTTTAGAACAAAATACTATTAAGAATTTAGTATTCCAGAAGCAGAATAAAGATTAATGAACAACTATAGATTTCAAAGTAATCCGTTTAAACAGAAGAAAATTAAGATTTATCATATAAAAGTCAAATCTCATTTCCAGTATCTTTTCAAACCTGTTATTTACTAAGATCCAAGAACTAAAACAATGCAAAATGCTGAACAGAAAAAAATTATTCCTCAGTGATTTTTTAGAAAATTTCAGTGGGAGTAAATAACAATACATTTCATTTAAAATGTAGTTTGAAAAAAATAATTCATTTCCAAAATTAAAAACTAAATGGCATATACACAAAAGTCTTAATTTTTTTAAATATCCTATTGTATTTCTACTTCAGATTGATTTTCAAATGAAATAATACATCATAAAGAGCAGATAAAATCTCTTAAGTATAAACATAACTCAATACACATTTACTTCTTCAAAAACCTTAAGTTGTCAAAGTCTCAGTGCAGGGATTGGGAAGATATTGGTCAAATACAAAATTTCAGTTAGAAGAAATAAGTTCAAGAGATTTATTATACAACACTGTGACAACATAAATATGTATTATTTTCTTGAAAATCACTAAGCAGATTTTAACTTTTCTCACCAAAAAAATCATAATACTTACATTAACGAGATCAATTTTTTCACTATTAAATCAATATATATTTTAAAACATGTCACACATGATAAATATAAAATTTGTCTATTAAATTTTTTTAAATGTTTACTCACATTTTCTAGAAATAAAAAAATCATGAAATAAATTAATTCCTAGCAAATCAATAACTAAAATATTGCATATAAAACAACAGTAAAGGAACAATTTAAGGACAATTACTCGTAACTTAATTTCTTACCAATGAAAGCTGGGGGGAAAAAAAAAGATTTTCTCTAACAAACCATGACAATTTTTTAAAGAATATATGCCTTATTCTGTGAACTTTCATTCCAAAATTGAAGTTTACTAGGGATATTAGCCTAGAATTGATCATAACAATAAATAAAAACCCAGCCTCAAAAGAAAGAACCCAGCTGCTGACTGTAATCTAGTGTATTATAAATATGTAATATCTGATTTTCTTTTTTCTCTAGGGCTTTGAGATATAGTATTAGGTCATTTATTTGTTGACTTTTTATTCTTTTAATGAATGCACTCAATGTAATAAACATTTTTCTTAGTATTGCCTTCACACTGTCCCAAAGATTTTGATATGTTGTATCAGTGTTTTCATTTACCTCTAAGAATTCACTGGAGAAAAGACAGTACATTCAACAAATGGTGCTGGCAAAACTGGATAAAATCCATATGTAGCAAAATGAAATTAAACTTTTATCTCTCACCTTGCACAAAAATCAACTCAAAGAGGATCAAAGACTTAGGCACTAGAACAGACCTGCACCTAACAGGTCAGTTAGGCACAAATCTTCACCATGTTGGCCTAGGATCTGAGTTCATTAACAAGACCTCTAAAGTCCTTTTCTTCTCAGCAAAGGAAACAATAATGTGAGAAAAGAGCCTACAGATTGGGAGAAAATCTTTATTGCCCCTCCAATAAAGCATGAATCTCTAGGATATATAAAGAACTCAAAAAATGTAACAGCAAAAAAAACAAATAACCCAATCAATAAATGGGCTAAGGAACTGAACAGTCACGTCTCAGAAGAAGAAATACAATTGATGAACAAATATATGAAAAAATGTTCAACTTCACTAGCAATTAGAGAAATACAAATCAAAACTACTCTAAGATTTCTTCTCACTCCTGTCAGAATGGCAATTATAAAGACTACAAGCAACAATAAATGTTGGCAAAGATGTGGGGAAAAAAGTACACGCATACATTGCTGGTGGGACAGCAAATTGGTGCAACCATTATGTAAAGCATTATGGAGATTCCTCAGAAAACTTGGAATGGAACCTTCATTGACCCAGCTATCTCACTCCTCGATCTACACCCAAGGGACTTAAAATCAGCATACAACAGTAATGGAGCCACATCAATGTTTATAGCAGATCAATTCACAATAGGTAAACTATGTAACCGACCTAGGTGTCCTTCAATAGATGATTGGATAAAGAAAATGTGGTATATATAGTCAATGGAATATTACTCAGCTTTAAAGAATGAAATTATGGCATTTGCCAATAAATGGATGGAGTTGGAGCATATCATGCTAAGCGAAATAAGCCAATCCCCAAAAAACCAAAGGCCAAATGTTTTCTCTAATATGCAGATGCTAATTCACCCTAAGGGGCTGGGGTGGGGGACACTAGAAAAGAATAGAGTTACCTTAGATTAGATAGAGGGAAGTGAAGGAAGGGGAGGAGACAGGATGAGGGGATAGGAAGGATAGTAAAACGAAACAGAAATGACATTATTGCTTTATGTATATGTGTGACTGCATGACCAACGTGATTTTACAACATGTACACTCAGAAAAATGAGAAATTATATCATATATATATATATATATCAAAGTGCATAAATGCAGTCTACTGTCATGTATAACTAATTAAAACAAATTAAAAATTTAAAATAAATAAATAGATATATGGTATCTGACTAAATTTGACAGCTGTCCTTAAAACTTACCTCTTTGGGTTGCCCAGGATCCAGCTGGTCTAAAATCAATTGTAATTTTCCTTGACAAAATTTGTAACTCTGTAACACAATCAACAGAACACACAGGAATTCCACAGACTTTCAGATCTACTGCTATAAATGATTGTTAACATAATTTCCAGCACAGTATGCATTCTGAACAAGAGAAAAGATTGATCTATTTTGACTTGGCAGCAAACTTGGAATCCTATTTCCCGAGGTTTTAATGAGAATTCAATGTCCCAGTAGAACAGTGTACCTTCCTGTATATGACAGTTATTATTTGATAAGCAATTGCAATGTGTAGAATATTATAAGATAAAAAAAAGCATGACCAGAATCTTGTATACCCAGAACTGTGTGATGAACAAAACAGAAAAATAAAACCACATTAATAAAAAGGCACAAATAGTACCTACACATAGCTATAACCCTGATTGAACTTTGTGTTCCCTTTCCTATGCTTTTCTTGGTATTTTTCCATAGTTCTTTTGTGAAAAAAATCCTGAAGTAAAAATTAACATTTAGAAAAAAGTTCATAGAACATAAGCTATTCTGAAAGAAAAAGTCTTTTTCCCTAAAACAGTTTAAATACACATATTAAAAGATCTCTAAAAATAACAAAAATAATATTAACAATTGTAATTTCATATCTATTATGTAGCAAGCACTATTCTACCTCAATTTAAAAAGTCTCTGAAATATGAGAAAAATGAAAGCCAAAGAGGTTAAATTACTTCTCCAGGTCACAAAATTATCAGAAGGCACATTCGCACCTATATTAGGGCCCTCTCTCTTCATTATCTATGCTATCCTGAGGTGTTCTTACCCAGTTCTTTGACTTTGAGTAGATCATGATGATCCACAACCATTTCCTGGGGTACAGAGTGCTTGCCTAACTCAGTGTGAGGCCCTGGGTTTGATCTCCAACACCACAGGAAAATAAAGCATAAACTTTAATGCTTATGTAGTTGGAATAGCCTCGAACTACTTATCCCTTCAGTTATCTTCTTAAACATAATTACAAAATTCTCTTTAAAATTATTTTTAAGTAATGAAATAATTTTTATTACATGAGACATCAAAATGCGTCTAATACCTATTTTAAAGGTGACCTATGCTATAATCTTTTTTATATTATTGTTTGTAAGTTAACAGACATAAATATACAATTGCAGTTAACTGTTATGGCAATTTAAGTAGCACAGACAGACAATGTGTTCACATGAACACATTTCAGTTGTTTTAAATATTCCTTTTAGATACATGTCTGTCAGATGCAGGATACATAAAGACTGCAAATAGAACACTCATTCTGGTTTTTTACACATATTTTGTAGTCACTTACTTGGTTACAACACATACTGAAAAATATTCACTTTGTTCAATTACTACACTTTAGATTTTAAAAAATTAAATCACCCTCGTAATTAAAATTTACTCTGGAAATTTCTTCTATTTTAAATGTATGGGTATGCAAACTATATAAGCCATTAAACATATAACTGGTCAAAAAATATATCTATTGTTGTTGTCCAAATAATACCAATATAGAAAATAAAAATGATAAATATATAATTATTAGGCCTAATGATAACTCATGCTTTAATATGTTTTGGGTTTTTTTTGGTACCAGGGATTGAGCCCAACAGCACTTAAACACTGAGCCACATCCCCAGCCGTTTTTTATATTTTTAGAGACAGGGTCTCACTGAATTGCTTAAGGCCTCAATAAGCTGCTGAGGATGATTCTGAACTCTCACTTCTCCTTCCTCAGCCTCCCAAAGTGCTGAGACTACAGATATGCATTACCGTGCCTAGCAACTTCTTTTCTATTCTTAAAAAAGACAAGACCACATAATTCTGATGACAATGATAATAAGCAAATACTATTATAAGGGCTTAATACATGCCAGATATTGTTCAAAATGCTTTCTATTAAACCATTAAATTCTCAAAGCAACCAACCCTATAAAGTGTGGCAAAAAATAAGGTGAACAGACTTTGGAGGGAGAGAAGCCAGTCCTAATTCAAGATCCATTCCTAACTTAGCAATTCAAAGTTAGGCAAATTACTCACCTATTAAGCCTCACTTTTTCCTGTGAAGAACTAGTAACTCCTATAATGAATATAAAGACAAGCACAGGGACCACTACATGGCAGTAGCCACAACAACAGACAGATAGTAATGACACTTTTAACTTTAAAGTATTGTCTTCAGTTTTAAGCACAATACTAAATCCACTGCTCATTTACATCTAATGATAAAAACCAGGATCTCCCCACTATTCTTAAATATCCTCCAACATATACTAAAACACTGCTGTTTTTCAAAAAATGAATAAAAAATTCATATATATCCAGGTTGCAGATTTTAAAATAATAATGAAATAAGACGTTTTCACAAAATGCAAGTGGTATCAAAATAACAACATCAAAATTATGAATACAATGTTATCCACAGAAAAATTCAGACTTTTTTAAAGTCCAGATCAAGTAACAATTTTGAAGGAATCAGTAAGGTCAGCATTTAATGGAATTGTTACCAACAGAGGCTAGGTCACCTCATTACAGCATGGAATCTAAAGTAGAAAGGCAAAGGGTGGAGAGAGGATTGTATTATGATAAGCTAGCTGACAGGAAAATGGAGGACCATCTCATCCTAAAGTGCTAACTTACAGGGTGGCTAATTTAGGGAAAGTTTATAAAAGCATGGGTAATCATGGACTGATGGGTACCTTTCTCATAGGTGGAGGTCTGTGGCCAAATGATACACATTGTTCCTAATCACCTACTCACAAGATGCTTTTCACTGCAAATCTCAAGAAAAAATATCCTTATTTCCTTAGGCTATTCTCATCACTGATTAGTTTGCTCACAGGCAGTTCCTGGATATACTATACAATGGAGAGGGTACCTGCCCAGAGGCCCACTTGTTGATCACTAATATCATGGGAATAAAAAAAAAAAACATATTTCACCTGATAATGTGGAAGACAGGGTCATATCAAGATGAATATATGGAGTCAGGCATAAGTTCTGGTCTCAATTCTTGATTTCAGAATGAATGACTATTATATTTTTAAACTCTTTTTCAATTCTTAACATATTCACTCAGCCTCTCTGATCAATTACAAGAAAGTCTCTTTACTGGTAAGTAAAGGTATACCCAAATATCTCTTTAAGAGTTTGCCCACACTGAAAGAGCTTTCCAGAATGTTCTAGCACTCATACATTTCTTCCAAAAAGTCGAGGCATCCCATGCCTTCTTTTTTTTTTTTTTTTTTTTTTAGTACTGGGGATTGAACCCAGGGCCTTGTGCATGCAAGGCAAGCACTCTTCCAAACTGAGCTATGTCCCCAACCTATCCCATGCCTTCTTAATGGGCAGAATTCATTTTCAACCCAATTAGTCCCTTCTGAAATAGTCATCTTCATAGGGCACACACTGAAAACTTATAACCTGTGGACATCCCGAACAAAGACACAGAAACTTAAAGCATGATGTCTTAAGTATCAAAAGATAGGAATCTATTCTAAAATGATGGCTTTATTTCCAACACAGCTTTACATTTCTTCAAAAACCTATGATTCTAACAACTAGAAATAATTTAATATTTGAGAATTAAAATAGCTTAACTCCTTGCTAACTCAATCAAGCTTATTTAGATCTAAATACTTGTACTTCTTGAAACAAATTAATAACGCTCCAGTTTTTTTTCAGTTGTGGTCCAATGTCAGTTTAGTCATACAGTTCACCAAATAAGTCAGCACATCTTACTAATAACCTGAGTTCTAAAGTTGGGTTTCCTCTTTCAATTCCAAAAAGTCCTTGATCTGAAGAAGCAGCTCAGCAAATCTATTAAACCACTCATTTGATTGCAATAAATTAAAATCTCTATACCCCACCTTTTTCCAGTTAATCCATCAGCAAGGAATGATTTGGGCATGAAGAAAATTCACAGTCTTGTCACATCTTGCATCACATCACATAACCAACCTGACTTGTAAAGTTCACAACTCAGCACAATCTCTCCTGCTAAAATGCAATAGTAGCTAAAGCACAGCAACTTTTAAGTTCTGCTTCAAATACTTAAAGAACCATTTTTTCCTTCAATCATGAAGTCTCAACTGTGACCAATACAGACGATTTTTTTCATGTTTCATCCAAACTTCTCTAATCATTTTCTGGAATATGGTTAGGATCTACTTTGTAATTATGTCTTTAAGATAGAGCTAATTAGGTGTCAATATTTCCCTCCATCAGTTAGGACTACACTAAGGTCAAATAGGCTTTGCAGACACAGAGATTGAACCCAGGTCCTCACACATTTCAGGCAAGGACTCTACAACTTAATTACACCCGCAGTCAGTCAGACTTCTTTTGGCCTAAAAGTCGATGTGCGGAAGTTCTTTGCACATGGGCTCTAGTCTAGTTTTCCTTGTTTTCTATTAGGGCTAATATAGCCATAGGCCTTTCTCTTATCTTTACTGTGGCCAAATGACAAGGTGCCTCAGACCCTGGTTGGATAAAATGTAAAATTTCAAATATTTTAACACTAAAAAAAGTTTAATGTTTTAAAGGTAAGAATTCATAGTAATCGTCATTTCAGAAAATGTACAGAAGAAATGTTTTATCTCTATCACATATATAATTTAAACTTTAATAAGGATTAATTAAGAATAAGATGTTTGAACTAAAGCTTAATTTGTTTCGACCCTTACTACTAAAAAATCTAAGATTAATTTTTCACCTCATTAAGAATTATCTCAGACATATCACAACTATTCACAAAACATAATTCTATAAGGTGGTATTTCATGAACTCAATCTTTACTACCAGGTTATTTTGGTCTTTATTTTTCTTCTGAATCTTTAAGTTAGAAAGTATAAAATCTGGCTAATAAATTTATTGAAGCATTATTAAACACCATAAATATAAAACTGAACAACCCACCTGATTGAATGATGAATCACTATCAGAGCAATTATCTGTGCAGTAACTACTGCTCTTCTCCATTTGGACTCTTTTTTGCCTCTCCTGACTTCGTATTTCATCTTCTTCAAACTTGTTAATCATAGACTCCACCACTACCATCATAACATTATTCAGGGAACGCATGATTTCTTTATACCTTCAAATTCAAAGTAGTCTTAATAAGAGAAGATTATCAACAGAAATTAAAAGTCACTTAAGTTAAACTACCTGATTATTTTCTCTATTTAAAAAAAAAAGAAAGCCCCTTTAATGGCACAGTGAAAACAAAAAACTTAATATTTCTTACAGAAAATAAAAACAGATATAACAAGAATAAAAATTAATAGGGATTCCAAAAAGTGCTATTTCATGGGTTTTTCATCTAGTTATATAAACCAACACAACAAAGTCAAGATATCTCAGGCAATATGTTCCGATGATGTGTTCAAATTACTAGCAACAAGATAAACTGTTAATAGCCTTACCAAAACTCAAAATTATTTTACACTTCACCTTTATCCCTAGTCTTATCTCTTTCTCTATCCTACTTTCCTTTATTTGTTCTTCCTTTCTCTTATCTGTACTTCATACCTCCTTCATACCTAAGGCCTGCTTCAAGACCAAGGTAAGAATGTGGCTGTCTTAGGGTCCTTTCAAACACAAGCTGGAGAATCCATTAACAGGGATGTTAGGAAAGGAATTTCTGAAGATGACAACAGTTTGAACTGGATAACTTCTAAGATCTCTTTCCACTCTAATGGTCTTAAAATATTGAAAAGCAACTCACAATAAATTACTCTATAATTCAAGTAAAACCTCTCAAGTATTCATGTTAATTTTAAGCTGAGATCCCAAAAAGCCCTAGAAGTAGAATTTTAGATCTAGAAAGAACCATAAAGTCCAGCCTTTATTTCACAAATGAAGAATGTGTGACCTGGAACAATGACATTTCTGTATTTAAAACAAAAAAGGCACAAAGATTTATATATAAACACAGTGAACACTAAATTTATAATTAGAAATTCTGGATTGTAATCCTAACTCATTTGCCAACCAGTTCTGACTTCATATAAAAAAAGTCTCAATTAACTCAGCTATAAAAGGACATAAAGTGAATACAATCTGGCTAAACTATTTCATATAGCATGGCAATAAATAAATGAAAATAAATATCTGAAAAGGCTTTGAAACTATAAAGCTCTAGACACGTATTTGTCATTATAATAAGGGAAATACATAAGGAAAATAAGCACAGCAAAAAACTTTTTTACTTATAAATCTGGTCAAGTGGTCACTGTAATTGCATTCATCAAAGGGAAAATAAATACTCTATCTCACAAGAGCAATAAATCCAGCCTAGGTCTAACTAAAAAGAATGAATAAGAAATTAAAATTTAAAAAAAAAAAAAGCTAGGCTAAGGAATTTGAATAGAAATAATAGATTGAAATTTTATTTGTTTGGTAGTGCTAGTGATCAAACCCAGGGCCTCGTGCATGCTAGACAAGTGCCTACCAATAAACTCCATCCCCAGCCCTCACTTTGGGGACAATTATCATATACATTCATAAGATACATTTTGCCGACACCACCAAAGGCCTATGTGTTAAAGGCTTGCTTGATCACCAGCGATGGCACAATCAGGGGATAGTGGAACCTATAAGAGGTGGGGCATAGCTGGAAGTCTTAGGTCACCCTAACCCTAACCCTAACCCTAACCCTTGAAAGGAATGCGGGACCCTGGTCAATTGCTCTCACTTCTTTGCTTCCAGCCTTAAGGTGAATGGGCTTCCTCACTATGTGTGCCCACCATGATATACTGCTTCAACACAGGACTAAAAGCAACAGGGCCAATCAACCATGGACTGAAACCTCCAAAACTATAAACCAAAATAAACCTTTTCTGTTTATAAGCAGATCAATCTCACATATGTTTTACAGCAAGGAAACCTGACTAACCCACATTTTAAATTATATATTTTAGAAATCACATATCTATATAAAAATGTATAATTTGTATAATATATAATTAAATAAAAATATATTTAATATAGACTTAACAATATGTATATATAATACAGAGCTATAAGCAACTTTATATAATATATATTTCTAAATTACCAGAAATCATGAGAAACACAAAAAGTAATGAAAGTAGATTAGGAACAATATAGGGAGGGGTATGGGGGGGTGACATATAGAAAAGCAATGTAATAGAGGTAAGAGTTCAGGGAATTTACTAGTTAAAGGTAAAGGGATATAAAATGCAAAATGGAGTTCTGAGACACTCATTAGACTAAACTGAAAACAACATATATATAGGATTACTGAGACAAAAGGCCCAGTTTCCCTCTCTTAGAGTCTGGGCAGCAATAAACAGGGAAACAAAATATGCCCTGATAGCTATCAATATCTATCCACCAAAAGTTGTTCTCTCCTTCCACAGTAATTGGACTATAGTTAAAATTACACTGTCCAGCTTCCTTTGCAGTTAGGTCTGGCTGTGTGAATATAAAGTTCCTGTCCCTTAAAGTTTTGTGATTTAATCAAGAACTATAAAAATAAATCTCAGTGATATAGAGAGTAAGATTAAGGGTGATTAAAATCCATAAAAAAACTGAAATTTGATTTAGATATAAATGTTTTCAACATATCTTCTTACAAAGACAAACAAATTCTTCTGAAATTAATATCAACAAAAATGGCCAGAGGGAAAAACAGAGTAATAATTTATTAATGAATTAAAAGTAATTAGCAGCTGGGGTTATAGCTCAGTTGGAAGAGTGCTTGCCTTGCACTCACAAGGCCCTGGGTTCAATCCTTAGCCCACCAAAAAAAAAAAAAACTAGAGCACTTCAAAATTAAGAGTTAAATGAACAGGAGCCATTGCAGCTTTGAAAGAGCTAAGAAAAAACAGATCCAGGATAGACTGTAAATACCACTAAGTAAATACCCTTAATCCTTCAAGAACTATAAAATAAGGACTACAGGAAGACAAAGCTCCCATATAAAAAGCACACCAATCAACAACAAAAATCTACACGGTAAGTATGACCACTCGCCATATAAGTAATATATAACAGGGCCTACAAATGAATTCTTCCATGTGCAAACATCTATTTAAAAGGCAAATAACAAAATGTTAACTTAGGAAAACACTTTGTAATCATTTCAGTAAAAATGTTGTTAATAGATGCACTATTGTCACATTAGCCCTAAGTAATTATTAGATGGCCCTTACCAACCCCTGCCATAGGGTATGAGGTAATGACAAAATAAAAGGAACCTGGGACCTTACATGAATCCATTGAGCAGATCCACCTACCCTCCCTGTATGCAAATACTTCTGCATTATCACATAAAAAACTATCATATAAAAAAAATTATTCAAGTTTCTATTGCGGTGTAATATCAAAACTCCCCATTATGCTATGGATTATAGAAAAAAAGAAAACATCTTATCCATCTTTATAGCTCCAGGATCTAACATATAATATATAGTAGTTACTCATTAAATATGTGATGAGTCTAAGATTGATAAGGGGAAAGAAAAAAAATTATTGTTAAAGCCAGAATTATTTCAAATATCAGTGTATTAGACTGTTTTCCTCTATGATAATAATACCTGAGGCTAGGTACTTTGTAAAGAAAAGAAGTTTATATTTTTTAATTTTGGAGGCTCAAGATCTTGGCACAGGCTTCTGCTTTACTCTAATAAATACCTCTTGGTGGATGATATCACAATGGTCAGAGTGCATGAAACAGGAATCATATGGCAAAAAAGGAAGCCAGAGAGTAGAGGGGGGCCAGTCTTGTTCTTCTATGACAACTCTCTCCCTACAGATATAGGATCCCATAAAAACTTCCTTATTCCCTTCTGAAGGCAGCATCCAAAATAACCTAATTACCCTGCAACTAAGCCCCACCTCTTGAATGCCCTATCTCCTCTTAATACTACCTCATTGGTGACCAAAGTTCCAACACCATTGGGGAACACACTACATCTAAACCACAATAATCCATACAGAAAACTGATTATTCTGGCAAAAGATACTTTCATTAATTCCTTCAACAAATACCAATTAAGCACCTAGAATGTATCAGTCATTTTCTAAGCATTAGGTTATAGAAACAAAAGATAAAATTATCTTTGTAAAGCTTGGATTAAGAAGCACATTTAATCCTTCATAAAGCAGTATGACAAAAGAGCTAAAAGGAAAATTAAGGAAAGTGAGAGAGAAAGAAAGTAACAGGAAAAATACTGACTTAAGCAGAGAGGTGAACAAAGAGCTCCAAAAAGAAGACTAAGACCCCAAAAATGTGAAGGAGCAAGTCATACAAATATTTAGGGAAAGGCAATCTAGATAACAGAAGCAGCAAGAGTTCAAATTGCTGAGGGATGGCCTAGTTCGCTTGCTAAGAAAGAGCAAGATGAGATAGCTGGTGCAGTAAGAGGGGACACATGGTAACAAATAAGGAAGACAGGGAGAAGGCTGATGGTGGTTCTGGTTGCCTACAGAAAGACCTCTGCATTTTACTCTGAAGAAAATGGGAAGCTTGTGGAGAGTTCTGAATGAGACAGTGTCACACACTGATTCACTGTTTTAAAGCATCATTTTGGCTGCTAAGAGGTGCTATGTGGGAAACAGATTTTTGGGCGGGGATAGAGATGGGTTAGTAATGCTATCTCAAAGCCCAGTTGAAAGAAAAGTTACTTTAAAATATTACCAGGGGCATACTCACTCTTTAGAGTCGTGAATTTTTCTAGCAACATGCTGTACAAGAGTGTCATAGCCAGATTCCTCACTCTGATTCTGATCAGATATGCATTTTTCCATTTCTTCTTCAATAATAGACCCCAAAGTGTTGCATATGTGCTGTCTAAGGTATTTTACAAATTCATAGCTGAAAGAAATATTTAAAAAATAAATTTGGTATAGAAGTTCAATTATTAATAATATCCAGAAAAAAAAAGTTAGTACAGAAAAGTCTATAACATATACAGATTTCTTACCTTAAACTAGAATTAAATTGATCATTCATTATAAATCATTCAGCTTATCGAGAATTTTGTTTTGCTTTGTTTTTTTCTGAGATACTTAGCAAAGATCATGATTTAAAAATGACCTTGGGTCTGCAATCTGTATACGGGGTAAAAATGGGAGTTCATAATCCGCTTGAATCAAATGTATGAAATATGATATGTCAAGAGTTTTGTAATATTTTGAACAACTAATAATTAAAAATTAAAAAATAAACTTTAGTTTCTCCTTTCTTAAAAAAAATAAAAATAACTTTGGGGAGGGAAGCTAATGTCACAGAAGGAGAAGCAAATCTTACAGGCATCCCAAACCTTAGTGGGTTTAGAGTCTCCTCATTTCTTCTTTATGCTCTTATGTCTGACATGTGATGTTGAAAAGAATGTAATGCAGTTGTTGGATAATTATTCAGGCTGATAAAAACTTAACTAGGAAACAGGAATTATGAAAGAATAAATAGGAAAAAGTTATGTTCCCATCACTAAAAGAGAAAGTTTTTGTGTATATTTTTAAAGTAGTAATTGAATTAAATACCACCTAAAAAGTTCTTATCTATTTTTATAGAGAGAAATATCCCACATAATTCAATATACTGGATATTTTTCTTCATATAGTTAGGCTGATGTTAATATTAAAATTAGTTTGTAAATTCAAACAATCTAGAAAATATGAGAAAATAAAGTTCTACAAAGAATTATTTTATGAAACATTTACTAAAAGTAAAGGACAATAATTATGATTAACATCATATTTAGAAATGTAACATTTCTACAGCCTCTCAAATGACAAAGCTAATTTAGAATGAGTCAATTTTGTAAATGTAACTATCCACAAGACATGTAATTGAATAAGAGCCTCATATATGTGTAGTTAAGAAGATCAAGGAGATCCTGAATAATTTACTTCCTACATTCATGACCCCTTTATGGTATTCACCATATAGTTTTCAGTCCACTATTTATTAAATGACTGATGCCTATAAAGAACAGCCACCTTAGCAAAATAGCAAAAGGATTTCATCTTCCACGTTGTTTCTGATTGAGATTCTCTATTTTACTCAGTTCTGATTATCCCTAAACACATTGCTGCTTCCTGGAACCCCCATGGCAGCCTCAGTACTGTAGGTGGCAGGCCTGACAGAGACACTCCAGGTCTTAATAATGAAGTAGAGACACTTGACATGAAGCTATGTGGTATTATAGTAAAAGTACAGGCTCAGAGTCAAAAAGGCCTGAGTACCAGGTTCAGCTCTAGCACTAGCCAAATATATCATCCTACCCCCCCACTCACAAACCACCTTCTCTCCAATTTACATATTCCTGTTATTTCTGCCATCATTATTTAAACAGACAACTGTGTATAAAGTCTCAGTTTTAACAACAGTCTTCTCCATTGCATCTTATATCCAATTAGTTAGCAAGTTCTATAATCCTATAAATTCTTCCTCTATTCTTCTCTTTCTCTTCTTACCATAATCATCCAAAAGGCTTGTTAAAACCCAGAGTGCTGGGTCCCACTCTCAGAACTGTTGATTCAGTAGAAATAGGATGGGACAAATTATCAGCTGATGCTGAGGCTGATGCTGATGATCCACTTTAAGAACCATCTATCCAGGGGGCTGGGGATGTAGCTCAGTTGGTAGAGTGCTTGCCTCACATGCACAAGGCCCTGGTTTCAATCCCCAGTATCATAAAAAAAAAAAAAAAGAAAAAAGAAAACCACCTATCCAGACAGATGCTATATTCAAATAACTTATGAAAGATCTTAAAGTTCTTGGAATGTCAATCAGAAAATTCCTACTAAAGGAAATAGTACTGACGCAAACATTGGGAAATGTTAGTTGTATTACATTTAAAATATGTAGGATTATTTTATAATCCTCTATATTAACTGATAATTTTTTTCAATTAATAGATCAGTATCAATCCCAGTATTTTAGAGCAAAGGTATTCTGTTGGAGTTTTAGGAATCACATAGTAACAGTTTTTAATTTCATCTTACCTGCTATTAGGGGCTGTATAGATTACATATCCTCTTTAGGCTTCATTTTTTTTTAATTTACAAAATGAAAAGCATCTATTTTGGAAACTACTATAAAAGATTCTAGATTATATATGCTCTGCATCTAACAAAGGGCCTCACTTAAGTTTAACAAACAATAAGCAGTAGCTATTATTACTCTCATATTATTTAAGATACATTTTGCAATGATATAAAATCCCTCTTGAGACCCCAATTTATCAAAACAGGTTTATGTCTCATTCACCACCATACATGTCCAACCCTCCCTACTGTCTATCTCAATATCTCTGTTAACACTCACCTTCACCAGTGTTTTACTACCACTCCTCCTTCAGTAGGATCATCTTCTAAAACCTAAAATGCTATCTCCTCACAAAGCCTTTGTTTACCAAAACCTGATTTTTTTTTTTTTTGCCCTCAAGCCCAAAAGTACTCTGTCCCTCTCTATTTAGAACTCAGAAAATAGTTTGTCTTATATGTACTTATATGATCTGCTTTATTCTTAGCTTGGCTTTGGCCCCATAAATTCAGGGCTTTTTTTTAAATTCACAACTAATAATACAAATTCATAGTACTAAAATAGTATAGTATGCTGTTTTAATAAGTATATAATGTGTGCTGATCAAAACAGAGTACTTACATGAACACCAACTTTTATATTCTTTATATATTTGACAGTAGGAGAAATCCACTTGTTTGTGTATCACCTGTAATATTTTGCACATAGTAGAAACTTTACACTTAAATTCAAATAAAGCATTTGGGACAACTCCAACCACAGAACATATGAAATGTAGCTTTTGAAGCACCTTTTTAAAAATCCCCTGTACCCCTTGATGGGCAGAATCACAGCCTCTGGGACAGCAAGTCCCCTATGTTTCTCCTTTGCTAGCAAAGCAATAAAACGTCTTCCTTTTTCTCAAAACTATGTCCTCGTTATTGAACTAGCATCAAGGACAAGGATAGAGCTTTAGGGAATAAATTGGTGACCCAAATGAGACCTGAGAACAGCCCCAACTCTGGCTTTTTTGGGCAGGTCTGCTTGTCCAAGCAACCTCCTTCAATGCTAAGGATGCAAGGTGGCCAGTGAACTTGTTGAGAGCCACTGCTGGTGAGTTAACAGACAGATGATTTTGCCTCGGATCAAACTAAAGGAGCTATTCCTATGAGTTAAAAGGAGAGACTGAGGGACAGTCCCAGCAACTGTCAAAGCTCCTTTTCCTTCAGGAAACTCCTGCCTTCTCTTCCTAAAGAGTAGTGGTTGCTCCATCTTGATCCACTTTAAGAAAAAGGAAACTGAATGCAGTAAAATCACAACACCCTTGGCCATCTAGACAATCCCTGCCCTAAGAATGCCTTGTCCAGTCACCCACCAACTGCTACCATAGACCTCTAGACTGCCTTGATGTTAAATACCCATAAGTGTCTGTGCACACCCCATCTGATAGAGAACAAAGACTTTGGGTCAGTTCCCCCAAATTCACTCTCTATCAGCAGAAAGCATCTTGGAAATGTCACTGTCCATTTTTCTGTAGAAATGAAATGTAGAAACTGACAGTAGGGAAATGTAACAGTGGCCCACTTTAAGCTTTGAATATAGACCTTTCTGCTGTACTACTGCAATTTATTTTTAAATAGACATGTATCTTTCTCTTCCTCTTTCTCTCCCTCTCCCTAATCTCCTCCAGTCACTAGTCTTGGAGGGGGACAGGATTACCCTTCTTCCCCATAGTAGGCAGAATAATGTGTCTTTGAGCAGACACCCACCACTGGAAGAAAGAAATTCAGACTTTGGGGATACCACCAGAAGATCTAAGAAATGACAATCTTCCAAATTAACAAGTGAATTACAATTCTGGACAGAGAACACGTGTAGCCTCTGCATCCCCTCTTTCAAACCACCCTAATCCTGATAGGCAGAATCTAAAC